CTGTTTTTTTGGCTGGCAACTACCTGAAAACTCATTTTCCCTCTTTGTAAGGTTCAATATATAGCCCTCCGGCAAGAAAACCATGAGGTCTGTCGGGAGCGGAACAGAAATTGGTTGTTTTGAACCTGAAAGGAAGCTGCTGAGAGAGGTATAACAAAGTTTCCATCTGGCCAAACACAAGTCCCGACTCAACACCTTCCAGGCTATTTTGTTTTTCTTTAAAGATGAAAGGCGTGCCCTGTCACTGACTGATTCTAGTTCTCCGTGGCAAGACACGGTGCGCAGGCCACGACAGTCAGCGACCAGGCGCCAAAGACTTTGGGCGCTGGGCGTCGCAATTTTCGGAGGACTCTTTTGCGTTTCACACAGTGAAACAACACCACTTGAACCAAGAACATCAGAACTAAAATGAAATACGGCCAATTGTTCGTGGCTTGGTGGGCGCACTTGCAGCACGGTGGCATTGTAGTGGCGGTCGCAATATCATCATGCGGTTTTATAAAGACCATGGGCCGCCCACTGCGACATGACATATGATCCACATCTTCGGCAACCAACCGGAAAAATTGTGAAAATCGGATCTTTTCCTTTGGATCGTTTAGTAGAGAAGGGCCGTATATGAGTGAGTTTGGGTGGGCCTATAGCTTTGCACTAAAAGCCCCACAGGTGATCATAGCACGGAATGCGAATACTTGGGGTTCCGATATTTTGATCATTGGCTGCGCACCCAAGAATCAATGCTCGGGGATACTGCCTTCGATATCAATTGATATCATATTTTCATATATTTTCATTGATATTCATAAATCAATGATAAATATATTATACTGTATAATATAATATATATATATATATATAAAGATAAAGTTTAATAAATAGATATACATCATATGTCTGAACTCAACATGATTCCCCGCAGTCTTCTCAGAATCGCCCTGGGTTGCGCAGTTTGTGGGCACGTGGCTACCTGGTTTTCCCGGCAGGTCACGTCACCTATTCGGGTTCTCCACGTGGGGAGACGATGCCAGGCCTGAGAGACGATGCGCCAGAGTCGTAATGAGGACATGACCAGGGGTTGAGCTGACACGACTTGACATGAGTTGATTTTATATCATCATGAATCATCATGAATCATCATGAATCATGAAAACAGTGAGATTGTGATGGATTGTGGCTTTTCAGTGTCAGCAAATGTTGGAAACATCTAGAAAATTCAGTGAACTTTCCATAACATTTTACCCTGCGGTATACAGTATGCTCGAGTGAGCGTGGAAAGGCCAGCTGTACGAAGCGAGACACAACGCTTGGCACTTTCCGTTGAATAGATATTTTCCAAGTTGTAGGGATCTCTCAATTTGTCAAAACATGCCGGAAATTTCAGCTCCAGGTCCTCAGATGGATTTCACGTGTTTTCCTGGATGAAAAACACATCCAAAGTGGGTTCGGAAACAGGCAAAACGTGGAGCTGCCACGTTGGACAGCGAGGCAGGAAGTGGAGCTGGAGCCGATAGAAATACTGGTGTCAAGGGCGAAGTTTCCGCGGAGGTTTTCGGATTTCCGTTGTGTTTTTTTTAACAAATTTGAGGCCTTTCAAATATGTTGAATAACAAACGTGATTGGAGTCTGTTTTGTCTCAGAAAAGTGGAGTTGGGTCCAGTGGGTCCACCTAGTGCCCTGTGAGATGAGGGTCCTAACAGGTGGCGCTTCCAACCCATCTACCCTTCTGTGCAACCTTTGCAGTTGACGTTCCTGTAGGGTTTTCATTGCCAGGTTTGCTTGCTGGAGGGCAAAGAAGTTCAAAGTTCACTGTTTACCTTTTCACAGTTTGGTTTGAGTCGTGACACCACTTGTCCGTTGGCCTTCACTTGGCGTCTCAACCTTGTCCGATAACCCTCCGCGCCAACTCTGTTGTCCTAAGGAGAAATTCTCAAATGTTTCCTCCCTTTAAGATCCTTTAGGGTTCGGCAGAACGAAGTCATCTTGGTGCAGAGTCCAGAGTCTTCGAGCTGGGTGATTTTCAAAATTTTCAGTGCAGCTTTGACAGCTGCAGGACTTCCCCTGAGGTCCTGGAAGAGCGCGGAAACCAAGCTTTGCATCATCATTGGTCATCATCTAATATGTACCGTACTATACTTGAGCCTAGCTTGATTTGAAGGAATTCCAAGAAGTGGTTGTCGTTGTTTTCCTTGACCGTGTTGACGATGTGAACCATGTTGACGGTTGTCTTGGACGTGTTGTGTTGTCTTGGCCATTTTGATTCCATTTTGTATCTTGCTGCTTTTTTTTATCAAGACGGACGTGTACGGCATTTGCAGTGTGTAGTGCTATTCAGCATGAAAGCTTGGCCTGTGAAGCACAAGAAAAACAGCCAAATCTCATGCACAAAAGAAAGGCCTTGACAAACCATGACAAACCTGGGGAATTTCATTCGTGCCGCTGGACAGCGCAAAGGATTCGCTGCCTCATGTCGGTCTCTGTGGATGTTCCTGGACATGGCAATTTCGATATTGCATTGACTTCTTCCAGCACCGCTGCTGACCTCATTTTACTGCTCCGTCAGCGTTTGCCAGACAGTCCATGGCATGGGAACAAGTTGCTGTCAAGTGGGGTCTGCCAGCTACAACGCGATGACGTTGTGGAGGCAACCCGCCACAGCACATGGGTCTTGGCAAACTACTCAGAGATCAGCAACCAGGAGACAAACATGCCAAATCCTCACTAGCCAATGGCCAATCACGATTTAGAATCTATATGCCAACAATACTCGTACCAACAAATACCACCAAATACCAACAAACACCAACAAATGCAGCGGTGTGATGAATCGATTCAATTTCAGTGTTTTTGGATTTAGTGGTTTCAGCATACCCTGGACACTGGTGGCTTGTAAAACGTATACCGTATACCTGCTCCTGACTTAAATGTGGGGAAGGAACTGCATTGAGAACTTGTGAAGCAAAGGCGAGAGTACCAATAGATTGCAGGCCCATGATTCCACCTTTGAGGGTGCTGCACAGTGCTTTTTGAATTCCTTTCCAATTTCATTGCATTTGTTGGTGCGCCCCACACACGTCAAAGGAGACTTTCTGCATCAAAGATACTGCAGAGCGAGGGATCACTCGCGAGCAATTGGCAAAAATCGTTGTTTTCATCTCCAAGATGGCTGACAGATGGTGCGAAACGTTCGGAGAACAGCGTGGGACAAGGCTGCAGTTTGAGACCTTCAACTTGTATCATGCGAATCATTGGATCATCAAACCAGCCACCGAAGCCTGGATCTGTTGATGATGTGACAACATTTTCCAATTTGAGGAATCTACTCTTTGTCTTTTTTTGATTGGCCCCATTATGCAGAATCCCAGGACGGCTATGCGAAAAAGGGCTGCAGCATGGTTGAGATCATGGCGATTCAAGTGCAGAGACCTCACTGGTTTGTGTCACATGCTTGGATTGAGCCTTGGATAGGCAAACTCTCAAGGTTGTTTGAGACCGTGCTATTGCATTGTCTGTCAGCAACATGTTTCTTTTTCCGCTAATAATCCACATTCCCCTAGAAGCCTTGGTTGAGTTTTGGACTTGTTCATTTCGGAACCTCAATAGGATGCTGTATCAAGAAGAAATGAACATCCAGCGTAATGATAGATGAAAGTCAATCCATCGCTTTGAAGCACGTCCAATTTTGTGTTGGGCAGATCTGTGAGGAGCCTGTTTGTAAGTTTCTGGCCTGCTTGGAGCAGCATGCTCTGGTGCGAGAACTCTCAAGCAGTACATTCTATTGGGTCTGTGCATATGCCAACAACCAGCACTGCGTGGAAGAGGATATCAAAAGCAACCCACGCAGCACTTCATTCTACAGAGCTATGCAGATGTCTGAGGGAGTTCTTTTGGTGCTGGATTCAGCTGGAACGCCTTTCGGCAGCTATCTGGACAACCTCCGCGCGGTGGCTGCGGGTCTATGCATTGCTGATGGGCCTTGGCAGTGCTTAGAAACGAATTGTTCAGATGTGGTGCTTGCAAGTTTCGATTTGCTTCAGAAGATTTGGGCTGTGTCTTCAAAAGAGCGGAACGCATTGATGCATGCCATGCATGGCAATGGTGCAGGAAGCAGAGCAACAGCTCGCAAAAGGAAACAGAAACAAAGCAATAACCAAGCAAATGGCTTCAATTTGCAACAAGCAGGTGAGATTCTCAAACTACTCTCTCAGCTTTTCCAATTGTTGGGACTCGGGGGTGGCGGTGGGAATTTGCTTCAACAGCTCAGTGCTATGATGGGCCATGGCGGGTGTGCCAAACCCAAGAAGACTAAGAACAAGAACAAAAATAAACAGGGCGGTGATGGTGGTCTGGGGGATTACGGCCAAGGGGGTGGTTTTTACCCTTCTTCTCCTCCTACTCAGCCCCCGCAGAATACTTCGAAACCACATCCTAAGCAAAAGGCGGACGTCCAAAAACAGCCACACACAGAGCAGCAGCCCCACAAAACGCCCAAGACCTTTGCTGAAGTGGTTCGAGCCAACACTGCGTTTAAGCCGGTGTGGAGCCTGCGTCAGTCAGACTGGACGGGGCCCATTTTGGGCTTTGATGACTTTTGTGTCGCACTGGATAAGCCTGGAAATATTTCAGCTACAGTGCAAGTGAACTCGGAAGAGCAACTTGAGGAGTTGCAGGTTTTGCTGAAAGGCGATTCCCCTGATATCAAAAGAGAGCTCAACATCACAGCTGTGATGCTAGCGCCGAAAGAGGCCAAGCAGACTGAGGATCGACCTTTGCGGATGGTGCCAGGAAAGATCTCGGGCAAGGTGCAGCCCAGGCAGGCGTTTGTGATCCCACTTCAAGGCCAAGGGCCATCACTCAAGAGAGCTGCCGTTGTGTCAGCGGCTCCTGCAGTGCAGCCTGAAACTGTTGTAGTGAGATTAAGTGTTGATGCAAAATATTTGCAAAACAACGAGTGGCAGAGCATCCAGGCCAAGCCAAAGGCAAACGCGCAGGCTTGGTTGCATCGGCATGTTCCAGAGCATGTTGCGGACAAAGTCTTTGATATGTGGGCGTTTCAGCAAGAAAGCATGAAAGGCGGAGGCAAGCCAGTGATCACTGGCCTTTTACGCATTGAGCGAAGTGCTGCCAAAGCTCTTCTAGGCTGCTCAGGCAAAAGTACCTGGTTTGTGGAGCCTTTGCAATGGAACAACTCCGTGATTGAATCTTGCGATGTTGAGTGGGTCAAGAAAAGTTCGGAACTTGATGGGCCCAGCTACTTGCAGAAGGTTCAGTCCATGGCTGGTGACCTGGGCATTGCCCGGGGATGGAATGGACTGGGAGTACGTAAGCCCAGGAGCGCCGAGCCTCCTCCTAAGGCCAGAGCTTGGCGCGTCACTGGTGTTCCGCGAGATTGGGCGGCTAGTACCTTGACTCAGGAACTTACACGTGCTGGCCTGACTGAACTCAAGGTGTTGTCCCGGAAAACTGTGGGCAAACAAGTGGAATGGTGGGTGCAGGCCAATGCTCAAAAGGATATGGATTTCATTGAAATTCAGGCTGGCGAAAAAGTCATTGTAGCTGTTGAAGCTCCAAGACAAAGACGGCAGAGAACACATACCATGAAACTGGCTAGCAATGGAAGGGTCAGTTATAACCAGAGCCATGCATGGCAGGCGATTGCCACGCCTGCTCCTCGCAAATCTTTCTACATGGGAACGCCAGTCAAAAAGCCAGTGACTATTGCAGGGGCTGAGAAGGTTCCTGCTGAGAATTTGGACGAGGACAAGTCGGACGCAAAGATGGACAATGCTGGAGAACCCGCTGGGGCAAAAAGAACTGTCAGTACTCCTGAAAAGAGTCCTCCGGCCAAGCGTGTTGCGGGGGAACCCAAGCCCCCTCACAATATGAAGGTGAAAAGCATCCCTGCTGACGGCAACTGTCTTTTTGAAGCCCTTGCTCAAAGTTTGGGCGGAAAAACAGCCAGGAATGTGCGTGCAAGCGTTGTCACCCACCTGACCAAGCACCAGGGTCGTTACAAGCCCTGGTGGGACGGCAAGGAGCCAACAGAGGCGGAGAATGCTTGCGAATCATGGGAGAGCTATCTCACCATGCTCTCAAAGATTGGTGCTTGGGGCAGTGCTCTTGAAGTTTCTGCTGCGGCTGTGCACTACGATCGCCCGATCATTGTCTTCCAGCCTCGTGGGGTTCCGGAGATTTACAATGGTCGTGGCAAGGGTGGTGCTCCCATCGCTTTGTGGTTTCGTTCAAAGCACTATGAACGACTTGAAGGTGCTTTCCCTCCTGAAGTTTTGACTCAGGCCGCAAATGGTCCAATGCAGGGCAACAGAGGTGGAGGATCGGAATGTGGCGCTACTTCAGTTGGTGCCACCAGATTGTCAGCTTTGCCGTCACTGGTTCATAGCAACAATAAACGTGGAAGGTGTGCTAGCCCCGCGCCCGCCTCTACTTTGTCAGAGCAGCGCAAGAATTCTTCTTCCCCTGCGGCTGCTACTTCGGGTCGGGGTCCGTGCACGCCACGTGCAGCCAGTGAAGGACAAGACGCAGCCAGTGCTTCGTCCAGACGCACTAAGCGTACTGAGTGGACATGCCCTTTGTGTGACTTTTCCACTGGGGTGTGCAAAGGATGGGTTGACAAGAAGAGAGCTCATATCAATGCTTGGCATCCCGATGAGAAGGAACAGTTGAAAATCGGCTTCAAAAACACGTTGCCTGCGCTGTCTGCGGTCAAGAAGGGAGGAGTCTATAGCTGGAAGTGTCCTGTTTGCAAACTTGGCTTGTCCGCTGATCACAACCTCAAACCTGGCCAAGTGTACAGCGTCATCCGCAAGCATAGGGAAGACAAACATCCTCAGGCGGATGCCAAGCTCTTCCACAAGGACAGCAGCTTCAGACGGGAGAATGCTAGCAAAGCCACGCGCCAGGTGCGTGCAGCTGCAGTGGCTCGAAGGTTGCTTGGCTTCAAGCGTGGCGATGCTGGAGCACATGACCCCACTTTCGTTACCATTCCAGCCACAGGAAATGGCAAACAGAAAAGAGTTGGAATGTCTTACGTCATTTGCAAAACTTGTGGCAGTATGGCTTTGACAGCGAAGCGTTTGGCAAAGATTGCTTGTGAACAGTATGCTTCCAGCAAAGGGCCCAAACGAAAGCAGTTGGTGGAAAGATTGCGTGCGTGCCTCAAAAATGCAGACATCAGCGATGACCTCAAGAAGGGTGCCCGCACAGTTTTGGAAATCATCGACTCTGGAGCATTTCGCACCACTGATACTGCAGCAGACAGCACGCATCAGATTGAGGCCATTGTGTGGCCTGCCAATTTTACGGTGCGTTTTGCTTGTGTGCATTGCAAGCGTTGTGTCAACAACATCAGACGGCTTACAGGAAGTCAGTGTCCTCGTAAAATGGTTTGGACTAAGTTTCGAAAGGGCCAGAGGGATATTTTGGTGCCTCTTGCGGCTCAGGCTCCAAGTGCCAGACAGCGAGCTGCTTCGCGAGCTTTGGACATTTTGGGATTGCAGCAGGATGGCGCTGTGGATCAGAACCCATGACGGGCTCTGACAGCACTATGCGGTTGGGGACTATGAATGTACGGTCCTTGGGAGGCCGCTTGGGTGGTGTGCTTGACTTTGCTCAGCTCCAGAATTTACATGTTCTGTGTCTTCAAGAAACTAGAGTTAACAATCACAGCTGGAATGCTGTGACTCGTGCCGTCAAGGCACGCGGGTGGCAACTTTTTCCTGGCCCTCAAGGAAGAAATTCGAAAAATGTAGTGGAAGGTGGTACATTGGTTCTAACAAAGTGGCCTGCTGAGGCCTTGGCCCTTCCTGTCGACATGGTGTCTGTGGAAAGATCCATGGCCGTCAAACTCTATAGACCTCAGCAAAGGCCGTTGATTCTCATCAATGTTTACTTACATGCTTCAGATCGCACAGCTGCCAGCCGTGCGCTGGGTGTGCTGTTCGAGTTTGTTGCTGCTTGTGGTGAAGATACAGTGATCATGGGTGACTTCAATTTGGAAATTCATTGTTGGCCAATTTCTAACGTTTTGGCTACTGGACAGTGGCGGTCCTGTGATGAGCTGGTTTGCGGAGATCGTGTTTTAGGTGGTACACATCGAACTGCTGCAGGTGTTTATACAGGTGTGGTCATTGACTATGGCTTGTGCACTCCTCGGTTAATTATTACTGGTAGGGAGCAACATCTTGGCGTGGCTGACCATGACGCGGTGGTTTACAACTTGCATGTGCCTGGTTCATTATCCACACCGTGGACTCTCCCAGTTGGTGCCCCTTTGCATTCTGAAAAGGTTGCTGAAGCTTCTTGGCTAAGTGCTTGGGAAGAAGTATGTGACGATTTTGGAAATGCATTGAGTACAGGCAACGTGGACTCTGCTTGGACCTTACTTAGCAACTGCGCAGAATCTCTTCTTCTCGCACGTGGCAAAACTGGTCGTGCTATGCGCCAGGGCCCGCAGCAAATTGCCAGTCCTCCGTCTTCAAAAGCGCCTTCTTTGCAAACAGTGAAAGAGCGCAAGCTCAGACGCTTCGCACGAAGAGTGGTGGAGTACCAAAAGGCCCCGTTGCCAGAGTTGGAGAAGAAGTTGGTTCGTGATGGCCCTCATTTACATCATTCTTTGGCTTTTTTCTCTTTGGATGACCCCAGGTTGGTTAGTGCAGTGCTAGAATTGGCAAATGCAGAAGCTACAGCAGCGTCCAAGTTACGCTTGGAGGCGTGGAAGGACAGCGTGCAGGAAAATGCCACCAAACTAGGCAGGTGGGTCAAACAGGTGCCGCCCGCCAGTCCTACTGCAAGTTTTGATGGCCCCATTCTACCTGCAGATAGGGCCAAGTGCGCAGCATTGGATTGGGAGAGGTATTGGAATCCAGGGTCGCTTCCGAATTTGAATCTGGGGGACCAGT